TCATTATTCACGGAGCTATTTCAGTTTAAAGAAATACATTCGTAAAAAAATCATATAGGAAAATTTTGTACTATTTTCACAGATGTTTTTTCTAAATTAGAATAACTCTACAAGAATTGATGCTATCATATTGAAAACATATAGTTTTGTAACTAAGAACAAGGCCTTTCTTTATATCTTAGAAATATCTTACTCTATGCTTTTCAAATTACGAGCAAATTTAAAAAAATATGAAAATCCACTAAAATTTTTGCATTAATTTATTTTTTTTCGAATTCACTTACAATTTGTGAATTATAGAGTAATTTTTTACTAAGATATTTTTAAAATAGAAAGAAAGGCCTTATTTTTGGCTACAAACTAATATGTGTTTCATTTTGTTAACATTAATATTCGTAAAGTTATTTTGGTTTAAAGAAAAGTATCTGTGAAAAAATTGTATAAAAAATTTTACAGAGATTTTGTACAATTTTTTGCAAACATTATTTTTAAACCAGAATAACTCTACGAATATTAATGTTACCAGGATAAAACACATTATTTTGTAGTCAAGAATAGGGTATTTCTTTTTATCTTAAAAATATCTCAATAGAAAATTTCTTCATATTTTATAAATCACGAGCAAAATTAAAAAATATACAAAATTCTTCATTATTAAAATTTACAAATATTATATTAGACTCATGAGCTACTATACAGGCTTGTGAACTCACTTATAACTTGTGAGCTATATATAAGCTCGTAAGTCTTATAAACAGGTTTGCAAGTTATAGATTAGACTCAAGAGTTCAACAAGTTCAGTTAAGCTTAGTTAGGCTTGAGTTCACAAGCTCTAGGTTTGAAAGTTATAAGCTTATAATATTAGGCTTGACTTAACTAAGCTCGATAGGCTTGCAAGCCTCTAAGGCTTATGGGGAGCTTTAGCTTAATTCTTCTATACTCTTCTAGCATGGAAGAATTCAGTAATGGTTGAGATAAGTTCTATTTTTAATCTATTAATTAGTACATATATTGAATATAATAATATATATATCAGTATAATAAATAAATATTTATATTTTAATAGAAAAAAAAAGAAGAAAAAAAGTTGTTGTCTATATGATAAAAGGAAATAATAAATATATCAAAAGATATTTAAAAAAGTATTTAATAAAAATCTTAAATAAAAGTAGGTACTATTTAGAAGAATGGGAAGAGACCAATGTAAAAGGTAAATTAATATTTTATTATTTAATTTTAATCAACAATAATAATAAAAAAATATTATCAACATTAGAAGGAACAACAGTATTAACATTATCATTATCATCAGCAAGACTAACAATTATGAATAGTAATTATGAATAACAATAATAATAATGATAATGATGAAGATAATGAAAATGATAATAATAATAATAATAAAATTAATAATGAAGATAATAATAATAATAAATACGATAATAATAAAACTTCTATATATATATATGTATATATATGAAAAGTTGTAAAAATCAAATATAATAAGTAAAATAATATTATATTTTTTTTTACATTTTTGAATATACCCATCAGAAATTTTTATATAACATTCTACAACGTTTTATAAATGGAACGTTTGTATAGCATTCTATTGTTACCTCTACTTTATTTCTATATTTATTAATTATTTATTTTTATATTTTATTATAATATATTTTATATCATATATTTATTATTTCATTATTATTTATTATCTATTTCTTATTATTATTATTATATATAATATTACAGTAGATCAATTTAATAGTCTGTAGTACAAATTAGATATTATTATTTAAATTAGTAAATTCCTAAATTCTTGTTAATCTGTAACACTAGAACACAAAGTTAGAGTACAAGCCAGAGTATGTGTTAATATCTCAGTCAAAGTACAAGTTAAATTAACAGTTAAGGTACTAGTCAGGATATTAGCATAATTACTAGTGAAGTTTACAGTCAGATTACAAGTCAGCTTAACAGTTAAAATTATAATATATATAAAGGCTAAGAATTTCCTTAACTCAGTTCAATTTTAGTTTCTAATCAGTCTTTTAGTTTTTGAATTAGTTAGAATTTATTAAGTAATAAAGTTAATATTACAAAATCCTTTAAGTTCCTTGTTTATTATATTCTTTTGATAATTGATAAACTGTTTGCTCCTATTAACAAGTCTTCATGTCACTGTTAATAGTTAAATATATCTCTTTCATAATTGATCGTACTTAATTCCTTCTACGCACAAACCTTTGTATTGTGATTATTTTGTCTTGAGATTAATAATTCTTATAGTTATACTTAGTTTTGTTTATTAATTTTAGTATTATTTTATCCCATTGTCTTTGTAAATTGTAGAAGGTTTACACAGATAACAGTACATATATTAGTAGATTATTTACTGTTTCTGGAATTTCTACAAATTCATAATTAACTTCTGGATCTTGATTTGTTGATATATAAATTCCACAATAAAGAAAGTAATGATAAATAGTATTAGAATAAACATCAATTTTCTATATCAAAATAACAAACTGGAACACTTATAATGTATCAATTTTCTCCAGATTTATTTTATTTGATTTTATATTTTCAAATATCAATTGATAAAAACATTTTCTATAATAGGTTTTAAAATTTTTAATAATATCTATATTATATAGTTAAATTTTTGATGTTGTATTTGGTAGTAAAAAATGAACCTTTGTATTGCATAATTCATATCCATTTTTTATGTGAGCAGAACAATTATCAATCAAAAGAAGAATATTATATCCATGTATACACTGGTCAAACCATTTAATCTACTCAATAAATATTATTCTGTACATCTATACTTTATTGTTCCATCAATATTGAATATCTAATAACTGTCTATTGACATTTCTAAAACATTGGGAATTTTGATATTTTCCAATTATCCAATATGGTAATTTATCCAATCCATCACCATTAGTACAAATTGCAATAGTTAACCTTTTTTTAAATTTTTTTGTTCCTTCTAATTGTTTTGTAGCAAGAGATCTATCTGCTAGGAGATGATAAAATAAACCAGTTTTATTCATGTTGCTGTTGTAATTAAGGTAGTGCTTGATTAACAACATTCATATTTACAGAACCATTTTCTCCATGTTTTGTATAAGCCTTGATTTTATATTGATTTTTAAAACTTTCTAGCTATCCATTAGAAAATGGTATTGTCTTATCTAGATAAAATTGATTTAAAAAAATCAAGCCTTTTCTTTAAGCATATAGAAACTTTTTTCTGATTAGTTATAAACTATTCAAAAAGTGCATCATTTACATATAGAACTTTACAGATTTAATTCATTTGCAAAATATATTTTGTTCTAAATGTAAATTTATTTTTTTTAATTTTATTAATTTTATTATAAAGTATTATGCAAATTTGTATATGTACATTAATTTCATTATAACAATTTGTTTTTTTTAATATTCTTGATACTGTTGACTGATCTATTGTGGTATTAAATTCCTGTTCAAACCATTTTTTTGAATCTGTTTGTGATAGTTCAGGATTTTCTTTCTTTTTTTACATAAAATAGACTTCTGATAATCAGTGATTCCCTTACATTTAATTTTATTTGACATAAAATAAGATGATTATAAAAAAAAAGTACAGCTGCAAAAAAAAAAAAAATTAAATCTAAACACGTGATATGCTTATATATGTCTATCAGTCTAATATGAAGTCAGGATTTTATTTATGCATATGCACATTGTGTATGCTCTTAGCTTATATTGCCCAACTTGGGCCATGAAAATTTTATGCATTAAGCAGGTTATGCTTATATACAGTATGCACTTAGACAGGTTCTACTGTATATTAAAAATTAAAAAACAAAGTTATTTCACTAATTTTAATACTTTTTGATCTTCATCTGAACTGTCTGGTGAATAATTATTATCAGTTTCATATTTATCATCATCATTACTATCTGAATATTGTGAAAAAAACTGGCCAGTGCTTTTATTATGTAATTGATTCTTTAATCTATTTTTAGCAGTTAATTTTTTACATGAAATTGGCATGATGAATTATAAAATTTTTGAATAATTTTTTCGAAATTAAACAGTTATTATATTGCTACAAAATGGTAATCTTTTTTTAACGTCACACGAAAATCAATTTTTTTATTATATTAAAATAACTGATTTTCAAATCTATGTAGCACGCTCAATATTAAAAATATTTTAATCAAAACCGATAAATCTGATAGCTCATCTATCAAAATTATCGGTTAAAAGTTAAAATTCCCATTTAAGAAAGTGTGACATTTTTTTAAAGGTTACTATTGAGGTGGGGTCGGTTATAGAGGTTCCGCACTGTAGTGATATATCGGCCCATATGAATATAGTAAAGAGATTCGTTTGTGGAACGTTACAGCATATGTTTTTGGAAACGTTTAATAATTATAAATTTGATTTAATTTAATTTACCAAGTCAAGTTCATAAATATTTCCTGCAATAATAATAAATATTTTATTTTATTAATAATCTTTACCAAATAGTTAATTAATGTGAATTTCTTTGTTCTGTGATGGGAATGAACTCCCTCTTCTTTATTATATTTTATTATATTTTATTAAACTATACGATCATGCATAAGTTATATATATATTGAATATAATATTTGCATAGAAGAATATATAATTAAAATTATGAAAAATTGGAATTGATTCATATGAAAATTGACAAATTGACGCAATTGACGTGATTATTTGATGCAATTACATAGATAATTAAAAATTCAGGAATTGCTTTCTACTTTGGAGACATGCATATTGTGGATCCCGTGGTTACATTCACAAAAAAATGCAAATGCAAAACTAAACTTGACAGGAATATTACTGGTACTCATAACTTATTACACTAATATAATTCAATTAAGAAAACTCAATTATTAAGAGCATTAAATCATAAACACCTTCACCAATAGCAGGTAAATAATCTTGCGTAAGGAATATTTTGCGAATCAAAGTAAATGATTATTATCAATACAAGTATAGCTACCGAAGTTGCAGATCGAGTTGAGATTAAAATTGAAAGCGTTGCAAGGTAATAGATTATAGGTTTTTACATCTCGTTTTCCAATATTTTTCAGTTTTGTTATTGTTATTATTATTATTATCATCATTATTATTGTTATTATTATTGTTATTATTATTTTTATAATTATTTAGTAACTTAAAACAGGAAATTAATTTAGAAAATGCGCGAGTTGAACGATTTTCAAAATATTCTCTTTTTCAGTTTTTTTTTCAGTTGTAAGAGTGATTAAATAATCAGTTTTTGCAAGAGAGAAATAATCAGTTTCATCCCCCCTCTATATCATGCCATGACTCATGACCGTCACAATTGGGAACCTTACATAATTTGCATTTCTCCTCCTTTTTAGATTCAACGAATGGTGAATTTGGTAACATTGAATTTTTTTTTGTAATTGGATCTATTTGCGACTTAATTTATTATGTGATTATATTTTTTGTATTTTTTTGGAAAAGGGTTAAAGTTTCTTAAGTAGTTTTGGGGGGTATGTTTTTATTTCAAAACTTCATTTATACAATAATATAAATTAAAATAAACAAATAAAGATGAAAACTTTGAAACTTTACGAGAATGCAATCAAGAAAATCTGTTACACGAGATAAAACTTGTAATAAAAAAATAAATATTTAATCTAAAAATATTTTCTTTCTTATGTTGTCAAAATGTTATTTGTTCATACATTAAAAAATCATGCGGACATACATAAATCATTGTGATTATGACGATATACAATAATTAATTCCATTTTCTCTCTCTTTAATTTCATTCCTTCTATAATACTATAATAATCATAATAGACTTTTATTTATAATTAATTTGTGTGTTTGTTGTTGTTGCTGTATTATTTATGTATTTGTGTATTTGTGTATAACTTGAACTGAATAATATGTTTGTTTCGGAAAAAAAAACAAATTATTAGATGATCCAACAACAACAACAACACTCAACGATACAAATAAACAACTAATCCAAATTTATCAAAAATCTTCTTTTCATGTGTGCAAATTTTTAAATTTTATAGTTTGAGTAAATTGTATATAAATATAGAATAGATTGATTGTTTATATATGTAGTAAGGAGAATAAAGTGTTCGAAAGATTTTTAATTATTATTTATTTTATTTTATTTTTTTTTGTATTTTTATTATTTATTTTATTCGTTATGACATATTTTTTTTTTCAATAATTAATAATAATAATTCAAGGACCCCCTTTTTTTAATCATCAATTAATTTAATTCATTTAATTCATTTCAATTATTTCTTTCATTATAACACATATTTAAAAAGGTTCCCAAGCATGCAAGTTATTTAAATTTCATTTAAATTTTCATTTAAAAAAATCGATTTTCTCATTAATTCATTTTTCTTCAATCTTCTTAATTCTTCTTCATTCTTCATTCCTTCGCATTAAATTATTAAATAGCATTAAGAAATTAAAATAATAATAAAAAATATTTAAATATTTTTTCGCGTTTTCGTCTTCCAAAGTTAAAATAAATACTTTTACGACATATTTCCAAAGAATATTCTACTCTACTCTTACGACGATAAGAACATTTACTTTTTAATAATAAATAAAATTACCATATTAATAATTTATTAAATATGTTATCAAATATAAAACCTTTATTTGGTCTAAAATTATCATCCAATATAAAATTATCATTAAATAATAATAATAATAATAATAATAATAATTCTACTTGTAAATTTACATTATTATCTACCTTGAAATCTTCGTTTTTTTTCTTTTCATCCTCTCCTTCTAATAATAATAATAATAATAATAATAATAATAATAACGATAACAACGAGAATAATAATATTAATAATAACGATAACAACGAGAATAATAATATTAATAATAGCAAAAAAAATAATAATAATAGCAATAATAATAATAATAGCAATAATAATAATAACAACAATAATAATACTATTAAATTATCAAAATCTAATAATAATAATAATACTAATAAATCATCAAAATCTAATAATAAATTTCATTCTTCGGATGATCGATCCGTTCAAGCGATTTCTCGAGCAAATGAATTATATTCTAAAAAAGAATATAAAAATGCCATAGGTAATGATTAATTATTTGTAATTTATTATTATTTTTTATTATTATTATATTTCATCTTATTAATATCATTCCTATTTATTAATATAATTATATATAATATATTAATTGTATTTTACAGAAGAATATACCAAAGCTTTATTAATATTTAATAAACATAATAAGCATCATAATCATAATAACAACAATAATAATCATGATAACAAAAAATCATCAGATTTCTTGGCATTATTATATTCGAATCGTAGTGCAAGTTATTTTCAATGTCGAAAATGGGAACATGCATTAAAAGATGCTGAACAAGTTATTAAGATACGTCCGGATTGGCCAAAGGTTGATTTTTCATTTTATTAATTTGATTTAATTTAATTTAATTTAATTTAATTTAATTTAATTTTATAATCACATCATTAATTTATTTATTTATTTGATTTTTCTCGTAGGGATATTTTCGAAAAGGAGAAACATTAATAAAATTAGGAAGAATTTCGGAAGCATTGGATAATTATTATATTGTACAGCAAAAAGTAATATTCATATTATACATTCCTATTATTATTATTATTATTATTATTTAATAAACATCTAATGTTGTTATTATCATTATTTAATATTTATAGAATCCAAAAATTTCACAAATACCATTACGAATAGCTAAAGCCTTAGTATTAAAAGAAAATGAATATATGGGTAAATAATTAATAATTAATAATTAATAATTTAATAATTCAATAATTAATAATTAATAATTTAATAATTTAATAATTTATAATTATATTTTATATCAGATATCTGAAATTCATAATTAATATTATTTTATATTATTCATTACATTTAGGTCTAACAATACATACATTAGTTCCAGGGCAAGATATTTGTATATCAAGAAAAAAATCAATTAAAATTAATCCAATTCAAAATAAAATTTTTGAATTCGCAGTGGAAATGAAAAATTTAATTTATGTGATTGTGGATAATCAAAGTAAAAAATGTGTGGTGATTGATGCGGTAATAATTTATTTTTTAATAAATTATTAAATACTTATTATTATATATTAATAATTATTAATAATATTATTGTTTTTATTTATATTATTATTATTTATATGATTATTAATTATTATTTATATTATTATTATTATTATTATTTATTATTAGTGTTGGGATATCGATGGTATCTTGAAGTTTATAAAGAATAAACAATTAGAACTTGTTGGAGCAATTGTAACACATTATCATTTTGATCACGTTGGAGGTATGTCACATTCATATACATATAGTATATATAGTATAATCTAATATATCACACACAAACACATCACACATGCATATAATATATATCATAACACTCACATTATTAACCATATTTAACTTTTAATATAGGAATTCCACCTCCACCATATGATAATCTTTCAATAAAAATTTCTGGTCTCTTTAATTTATTAAAAAGATGCCCCAAAGTTAAAGCATATATACATCCCAACGATATTCCTTTTGTTTTAAAAGGAAATCCCGGAATGATTGAATCGATGCCTATTGATACCTCTGATTATTATTTAAATAATTATTGCTTAAATAATAATGATAATGTTATTAATTATAATATTATTAATTATAATATTAATAATGATTATAGTGATAAAAGTGATAATAGTGATGATGAAGATAATAATATTAATATTAATATTAATAATAGTTCATCACATTTATTAAATTTATTAAGTTTACCACACTTATCGTCACACTTACCATCACACTTATCATCACATTTACAATCACACTTACAATCATCGTCGTCGCAACAACAACAACAACAACAACAACAACATAATAATAATACTTATCGAATAATTCCTACTCCAAATAATTTCATTCTTCCACTTGGATCACTTACCATTTTAAGATTTTTACATATGCCAGGTCACACTCAAGGTAGTCAATCAATATTAATAAATGAAAGTCGATTATTTACGGGAGATACATTAATGTGTGGATGTGTAGGTAGATTAGATTTACCAGGTGGAAATTTAAAAGAAATGAAAATTACATTAAAAGATAGATTAGGTGATTTAAATGATAATATTGTTATTTATCCGGGACATAATTATGGTGGGGATTGGACAACTATCGGAATTGAAAGAGAAAAAGGAATTATTGGAAATATTAAAAGAAGATAATTTTTTTTTTATTATTCGATTATTTCATTACATTATTATTATTATTATTTTATGAAAGTTTATTTATTACATTATAATATTTTATTTATTTATTATTATATTATATTATATTAAAATTAAATATATATATGTATAAATATATAATTGTTTTTAATTATTCAATTTATATAATCTATATATATTATGTAAAATCAAAGAAATATAAAAATATTTTCTATAAAAATGATATTATTACTAAAAAAAAAAAACTATTATCTTCATTTTTCTCTAATCTTTTCATATTTTCATATTATCATCATCGCATCACCACAAAAAAAAAAATCCACATTTACCAATCCAACTTTTTATTAATAAAAGTATTACTATTATCATCATTACCTACTGATCCTCGATATAATTCATTAATAATTTTTCCTTCTAGAACTGTTCTTTCGATAATCTTTCTAACATGACAAGGTGTAACCCTTCCATACCAAATTCCTTGTCCATCTCGATAGATTATTACATTTCCCGCGAAATGGTGACCTGTAATTTTATTATAATTTATTTGATATTTTAATTATTATTATAATTTGATGATATTATTATTATTACTATTATTCAACATTAATAATATAATAATTATTATTCAACATTAATAATATAATAATTATTATTCAACATTAATAATATAATAATTATTATTCAACGTTAATAATATAATATTATTATTCAACATTAATAATATAATAATTATTACCTCCAACATGACTAGACAAATATACAGCAACATTTTTAATATCCAATTTCATTTCTTGTAATACTTTATCAAATTCTTCTTTTAATAATGGACCAGCGATTCCACATCTAATATCTCTTTTCTTATGTCCACATATTAAAATTACTGTTTTATAAGGTATAGCTTCTATTTCAAATTTTTGTATTGATGATGAATTCCGTGATATTTGTGATGTATGTGATAATGGTGATGGTGATGATAATAATTGTTGTTGTTGTAAAAAAGATTTCTGTTTTTCTGTTAAAAGAAATTGATTATAAAATTCTTTGGAATTTTTTGGTGAAACTTTATGAATTAATAAATTATCTGGAAACAAAAGTACATCATTTCCTTCATTTCGTCCTCTCCAATCAAATAATGAAGAAGAAGAAGAAGAAGAAGGTCGACTACAATTTGTAATCATTATTCTTTCTTTATTAGTTTTCTTGGATTTATTTGTAATATTATCTCGTTTGCTACCTCGTTTATTGTCTTGTTTATTATCTTGTTTACTATCTCGTTTATTGTCTTGTTTATTGTCTTGTTTATTATCCTGTTTATTATCCTGTTTATTATCTTGTTTATTATCTTGTTTATGGTCTTTTTTATTATCTCGTTTTTCTTGAGTGAATGATGAATCACTTTCACTTTTATCACTTTTATCATAATTAATAATTATTTTAGCTGTATCAGGAGAAACAGCAGCAGTAACAGCATCAACAACAACAGTATTACTATCAATATCAGTAATATTATTATTATTATTATTATTATTATTATTATTATTATTATTATTATTATTATTATTATTATTATTATTATTAT